GGTCATCACTGAATTTTGGACTGAAAAGTCCATTCAAATGTACAAGACCCCAATATAACGTCCACATGGAAAAACATTTTTTTTTTTATACTCCAACTACCACGAAGGCCTAAGGCCTAAGCACCCATTGGGTACCGTGGGGCTATGGGGGATACATGGGAAAGGGGGGACGCCACACGGACTCTGGCGAGGGAACACGTGTGCATGCAACATGCACACATTCTGGCTCCGCCTACGAGAACCGCCGGGTGGTACCTCCGCGTTCGACAGTCAGAGACCATCTACCACCTACGGACAATCACAACATCCATGGCCAAGAGAAACATTTCTCCTGGGACGGGACTCGAACCCGCACAGCGCACGGCGGCTGATCAGGAGACCGAAGAGTCTACTACTGCGGCCACCGCTGCTGCCTAAAACAAACACACAACATCCATGGCGAAGGCGAGATTCGAACTCGCGGCCCGGCCGGCCGGCTGATCAGTAGCACGACACTCTGACCTACGCGGCCAACCGAGGTCCCATGCAACTTATTTTAAATATATATATATAATAATATAAATAAATTAGGTTTGGTAATGTCAATGTATAACGTATCATACATTTCTTAGATCAGAATTAAAAACTCTATACATCTGTGTAAAAATGAAATATAGCGTCCATAACAAAAAGTAAAGTTGGTGTTGGAGGACAAGAGACGAAACATCATATTGTTATTTTGGAATCCTACTACAAATAAAGCCAGCAATTTGTAAAAAATCGTTTTTTTCCTTCTATCTCCGGAAGTACTTTGAATTTCAAAATTTTCTCAGCAGCATTTTATTGATTATCTAAAAATACAACTTTGCCCCCATTTAAGCGACTTCCTATCTTCGAGATCTCAATGGTGAGGGTCGAATTTGAAATACCCTGTATATTGGATAAATATAAACATCTTCACAAATACTCTCCTTGCTATATTTCAATATTCTTATTTGGGCCTAGGCCTACGCGTCACTATCCCCTCGGAAAACTACTATATGGGTCAATATTCCCACACTGGGACATTTAAGTCCTCTAAATGTGCCACATAAAAAATATCTAGTATTTAGAAGACCGTGCATTTACTCAATGCAGTATGGCTTGTTTGTTTGGAAATTATACAATAACCGAGATTTTAGTTTGTATACTTTGAATTATTTAACATTTTTCAAAAATCTCAATACACGGGACTGACACGGTTACACGGAACTGACAAAGAAACAGCAGGATAGCAAACATGCTTTGCATTTTTTATTAAAAAATACTCAGGTACAAAATAAACTCAAACAATGTATTCTGAAACAAAAACATAACGTTATATTGAGCGGCTACTTGGAAACTCTGCTGCTAATTGACCATTTTTTTTCCACTCGGACAAAGGTATATCATCATCTGAAGAACTTTCACTGTAAACATTGTAGTAATGTAGCTTCGCTTTATTCCCTTTGTCAAAAATGTATAATTCTTCATCAGACGCAGAACTTTTCGTTACCGAATTATAAGATAAAGTTCCAATAGTGTAATGTAGACATCTTTCGCCGCAGTCGAAACAGGAGAGCTCTCTTAGAGACAGTGTGTTGTGGTCTCTTAGAGATCTTACTTGACGAACCTTCAAAGTTCCTTTAAATGGCAGAACCTCAGCTTTATTTATAGCATCTGAAAATTTTTCAATTTCACAAGCATGAATCTCCAAAAAGGATATGCCCGAGCAGTTGGCTTTCAGGATTTCAACCAATTGGCTGAAAGAACTCACATCAGATCCCTGAGCAACAATACGGTCTGCAGTCCTTTTACAAACTCCACCAATGCCGTCCGGGGCACCTTTACCATGTCCGGCCTCATGGTAGTTCCAGGTAACTGATTGTAGTTCCGGAAAGTAGCTATAGATGCCATTTGTAATGAATGCAAACATTTTCTTGTTGCGGTATTGTGTACTGGGGCTGTCGCTAAGAAAATGCAACAATTTTACCCCATTATCAATATAGAGTTTGATCAGTGGAAACAGATGAGCCCATATGGCACCGGGACCATGCTCCAACGACTCTGATAATGTACAAAAACTGTCAACCTTCAAGTCGTTTTCGTGTGCTCGGCTATAAATTACCACAGTATGCAACGTAACCTGTTGCCTTGATCCTCCAAAATGATAAGACTGGACTTCTTCTGCGTACTTTAGATTATAATTCTCAGAAAAGTCACAGTGAATGAGTATTTCCTCATTTGTCATGTTCTGTTTCAGTGTCTTGATTGCTTTGTATTGGTGAAAAATGCGTCCCTCGTGTGCCAAAAAAAGAGGCAACCTATCTTCAAATTTGGTCAAAAGATCCGATATTTCTATCTCTTGACTAATTTTAGCAATCTTCAAACTGGTAACGTTGTTTTGTGATCGTTTGCTGAAATAAGTTTGTTTTATGTTTTTCCACTGACTATATGATACAACGTTACCAGGATCGTACTGCTCAATATATTTAGGTTTATATAATGCACACACTGAACATTTCCTTAGTAGACATAGGTCATTGCGGGTCTCACATGTCATTGACTCAATTATTGCTTCTGTAGTTTTGCAGTGCAACACTTTACTTTGCCAAAGAGATGATACAATCAACTCCATGTTACTATGTGTCATACATTTACATGTGTCTCGATTTGCTACCTTCATAAACTTTATCCAGAAAGGTTTACATTTACAGAAAAATGTATAACTCACCTTGACATCGGCGTATTTTTTACAAAACTCTTTGAACAAATTCTTCAAAGTGTTTGTTAAATATCTTTTTTGATAGGTGAATTTATTCTTTGTAACATAGTCTTTCTTACCGGGGCAAATCCGGCTATTAACATCTTCCTGTAAGAACGCCACAATTTTATTCCTATTTTCAGATGCTCTTCGGTTTTTCTGATACTTAACATCTACATTCCTATGGCTGTATTCCACTACTCTTGTTTTTGTATATCGAAAAACTTTGGAACACGTTCGCTGAAGCTTGTACTTCTTAATAATTTTTCCATCCATTATTTTCCTAAATACCTTCTTTTCTTTTGGGCTTAACGATTTATAACTCTCTGACAGCTGGTCCTTGATGGTCTCCCCAAAAATAAGTTGTTTTTTAATTTCATCTACTCTTTTTTGCTGTATTGAAGACCTTTCTATGATCTGTTGTACTCTAGTTCCAGGTGAAACTGATGGGGAACTAGTTTGTTGAGCAACATTTTTATTTTGATGCATTGACTTCTTTAGGCGAGAATACTTTTTCTTCCACTTTCCAACTTTTTTTTTAAGGTCTGCTATTTTAGCTTCATTTTTTCTTTTTTCTCGATGTCGCTTAAGTTTCATTCTATTACTTTTCTTTATTGCATGTTCCTTTCTTCCATCTAACTGTTTCGTTAAATGATCTGGCACATGTGCGTTTTCGGATGATCTTAGTCTTAATCGATCTCGGTGAGACTTTGTATATTGTGTCCATTTCTTGCGTTGCGATCTAATTTCTCTTTCTGTCATTTCCGAAACAAGCTTCCTTTGTTTATTCTTTCGTTGACGCAAGTATTTCTGATGCTCTTTTTCCCGCTGCTCCTCACGTTTTTCCGGATCTTCTCTTATTTTACGCCTCCGTTCTCTTTCCCGGTCACGTTTAATACGCTTTCTTTCTTCATCAGATATTTTCCTATGTCCAGACATCTTACACCCTGCTATAGACTAGTAGATAGACCTGTGAACTGTAAAAAATACTTGCATCAATGCATGTTTGCTATAGTTTTATAGAGAAAAAATGGAATCAAGTCAGTTCCGTGTCACACAGTCAGTTCCGTGTTTTCGCAATGACACGGGACTTACAACCACGGGACTGACATTATTGCACTTACAGCAACAAAAAAAGTAATCGGTTCAAAATTTCTAATTAATTTTAGTATGACAATTATGGTTTTTGATACCCGAAGTACTCATGGGGTATTTGAAGCAAAAAGAAAAAATAGTAGCTTTAAAACACTTACCACGGTACTGACAAGAGACAGGTTTCCAAGACACTTTTTTACTTGTCGGACCCAGTTCCTGCTTAACCTATCAGTAATCTGTGCACATCTTCCGACGATTGAGCCAATACTAACAATTTCCAGTTGGGATAATACGGATGTCACTTACCATACCTTCCCCCACTACTTTATGGCGTGATATATGGCGCGGCACGGGACTGGCCAGATAGCTGGAGACAAATGCTTTCCGAAAAATTACTAAATTAATTATTCTTTTTGTTTCACCAATTTTCTATATTGTGGTTAGCTATGTGCATACTTGCGATATAGGTATATCAAGTTTTCAAAACAGTACTTCAGGTGAAAAAAATGGCAGGTATTATCAAGAGACATCCGCTAGGACATGGCACGGGACTGACATTTCAGTGGCATTTTCCCAGTTATTTTGTTCTAAATGGAAGATAAATATTTCATATAGTGTGCAAACCGTAAAAAATATGTAGCCAAACGCATCGTATCAGATAATTACATTGAAAAAATTATAACAAATCAGTTATTAAGAGGAACTTACGATGACTCATGTTAGGGATATTAACCCATATATTGGTTTCTATGACGCCATCAATTCATTTGCACACAATTTTACGAAACGAGGAAATCTCAACTTTAGTATCTATTCGCATCAATTATTGTCTTAACTTTATTTATATCTTCCTCCACTGTACTTGGGGCTACCCTTTGACATTTGTTACGTGCGCTTCTGCAGCAAAATGCGTAGATTGGTACTCATATCGTGAACAGTGTTGGACAAGGAGTTTAACATCGCTCATTTTTCCGTTTTACGCAATGATAACTGAAGTGTTACTTCTGCTTCTAGAATAGCTCATAAAATATTTCTTTGTGTAGCCTGTCGGAAATATCAGTATCATACAAACTATATGATTAAACTAATTCATAAAACATTCATAAATATGCAATGACCACCTATGGTGTGGACCACAGTAAACCATGTGTGTGCAAGACGTATAAAGCTCAGTGCATGTCTATAATCAATGCTTGTAAAATTAATGAATAGAAAAAGAGTAAGTTACTTAATCAACTCATATTATGCTAGATGTATGCGCCAGCAGTATTCACCGCAAGAGAATAAATATAAGAATAAATATTTAGTAAAAGTTCTTCACAACAAGGAAATTCTGACGATAAAAGACTGTCAAATACAGTCATCTAAAATCATCAAAAATTCATTGTTGGAATGAATAGTATATGCTCAGATAACACCTAGCCCGAGTACTATTATATGTATAACTTGAGACGTGGTCATTGTCGTCTAGACCAGTTAGGTGAAAAATTAAAGCTTCCGCCTTTTGTTGGGTACTTCGACAAAATTTAAGCAAAGAGGACTCTTTATACTTTTTTAATTCTCTCTAGCTTTCAATGGACTTTGCCATCATCATCTGGAGCTGCAATTACAATGATAACAGTAGCAACAAAAGTGTAAAATGAATTTAAATTGACTCAAGTTACAGTAGTATGTGAGGATGTTGCTAATTGTTGTTTACGTATAGGATGAGGGAAATTGCAGCTCCTGATGATGATGGCAAAGTCCATTGAAAGCTAGAGAGAATTAAAAAAGTATAAAGAGTCCTCTTTGCTTAAATTTTGTCGAAGTATCCAACAAAAGGCGGAAGCTTTAATTTTTCACCTATATATATATGTTTGGGGTGCTACCGCTCCGACTACATTATCCATGCTCGATGCTGCTTATGACAGAACTGTCAAATCGATGACTCTTCTCTAATGGATAGTTTCGGGACCCTGCCGACCGCCGGCAACCTAGCTCTCTTACACCGTTATTTCAACTGGCTTTGTTCCTCAGAGCTCTCTTCAATAATGACGTCGCGCGAAGAGCCTGCCAAACAGACCTGCCTGACTTCGGCCTTCCATCTTAACCGTATCGAAATTGGTGCATCCGAAACTGGCCGATACGACCGCTCCTTTGTTCCTTGGGTATCGAGATTGTGCCACAATCTACCTGAGTTGGCTTCTCCCCCAGTTCTAGTAACCTCAGGTAGCTCAAGCATCGAATTAACAAAGTTTCCTTAGGCTCTTCATAGTAGCCGCGGTGTATAAAAAACTCTTCCGACTTCATTCAAAATCTCTTAGGTATGTTTCACTTACTCAAATTTTAATATTAATAACAACCATTCTAGGGATTTGTGCACGTACGGATATGGTTTCCACAATTTCCAGGAGTAGTGATGCAATCGGATCAAGAACTCATCATCATGTGCAAACCTCCTGAACCTACTGTTATAGAAAATAAAGCAGCTGGATTTGCTGGTAGTTTGTAAGTACCAATAGTTAAAACTAGATTTTTAAGGATATGTTTAACCAAACGATATGTACTTCAGATTATCAGTTATTATTACTCTTATTATTATTATTATCATTACTTTTATTATTATTATTACGTTAAGTTCATCGCTGTTTTATAAAAAGTCTTCAATAAACAATCCTTGCCTAGAGGCAAGTTTCGCCTATGCGCGATCATTAAAGTCTAAAGATGACATGTTTCGTTTTCTGCAAAATTGGTAAGCGGATTTCATTGGGAGAGGCACCTATGGTTGATGGGTTTTTAGCCTCTTATAACCGAAATACATATTTATAGTTTTAGAGTTCCGATGGATACTCGTATCGAGTTTAAGAAAAATATAATGGGTGGTTGAAAAGTCATGAGGTCATAAAGAAATGACCAAAATTATTATTTAATGTGAAACTTGATTCGCATTCTCAATCTATTGTGTGGAATCGATTTTGATACTGAAACTGGAAAATACTCCAAGACAGTCAGTCCTCTTCTGCTTATTTAAATCACACAACATGCCTGTGATGTTCTGTGTAATAGTCGTACTTATGTAGGTTGAGGAGCTTCCCCAATCAAAATTGCCTCAACATTTGAATAAAAAACCGCCAAACTTTAGTTCTTAATACCGACCTGCAAGTATCTTGAAATTAGACCTTTTTCGAAATCTAACACTAATGTGGCACACGAAGTCCTAAATAGTAAGTTGTAAAATTAATAGATAATGAAGTTTCCAGCTTTGTACTCAAAAATGAGCAAAGTAAAATCAGTACCTCTAGCGCTCACAAAACTTTCTGCTCGAATAACAAAAGGGGATCGTTATAATGAACTTCTTGTGCAATTTTCACACGGTCAATTCGATAGCATGAGCTTATTAAGTATACCAATATTCAGAAAAATATAGCGGATTGTTGCGAAGTTGTAAGAATATAAACAAATGGTCAAAACCGATAAAACTCCCTGTAGCTCGGTTATAAGAGAATATAAACCCATCGGCTCAGTGGTCCCTATCCTCAGTTCAAAAATCTCCCTCTCCCAATAAAACGTGATGTGTAAGTTGATTTCCCTATATGTTTTTGGTATGACACAGCAATCACTATTTTGTTTTTACATAAAATCCAATACTTATTCGAATATTCATTGAATTTTCTTGCTATCGCTAACTGGTAATGTCCTAAAGGTGCCAAGTTATAATTACTATGATTTACTGCATTTCAAAAACCTTCTCATTAAAATGAAGAATGAGAAGCATCGACATGGTAACGAGCTACGTGTAAGAACTCTGAATTGAATTCCTTTTACGGCTTTGCAAACCTTTAGCTTTCTATGAAAGATGATAGCGCGTCATTTAGCACTTCAACATTTCATAATTACATATTGACGGCTTTATCTTTAAAACAAATCCCATGACCTCTTGCACCTACACAAACGAGAATGAGCCTTGCGTTTTGTCATCGTCATCGCATTTTATCAGACTTTGAAATATGATTGCAATGTTTTCCATTATAGGAACGGATCAGAAAACGAGAATGCTGAATTTTAGGGAAGCAGTTGTAACTTGGGACGCCTTAGAAAGACATTATTAACATGGACATCTGCAGGGGTAGAGGCCAGAAGGGTGCCTATACCCCAAGAGTCCGGTTATATCATTTTAATATTTAGCGTGGTTTTGTGTAATTTAGGTTATGGCCATCCTTGTGAACATCTGCTGCTCCTCGCTCTTAAAAAAAATTAGGAGCCTGTAAGACTTTCACAAACAGTTTCCTCTTTCCAATGATTATCTATATACGGTCATCACTCAGAGCTACCACAATCGCTGAGAAAGGCATTGCAAAAAATGGTGAATGTATATAATAATATACGAATATCTATCACCTGGTTATCCCAACAACTGGGGCTTCGTCACGCATCATTTCACATCAAAAATTTCATATCATTACCTAAATAATGTTTTGAATGTGTTTAAGTGTGATATGTACTTTACAGGTAATTTATAACTAATCTTATTCTTCGTTAAATCCCGCAACATGTACCATTTTATCGGCATGTGTGCCTAATTGTGCTGAAATTAATGATATACAAGCCCAATCACTCTGCTTCTTTCTATCTAGGTTAACTTTTTCCCGTCGGCATTATAACTATTAAATTACTACAAAACCTACGCTACTTGAAAAAGTACAAAAAGACCGTAGGTACATTCACCGCATAGAAGTATTTTTGTCTAATTGATAGAAAAGTATTGCTAGCTGAAGCTTGTTAGTTTTACCGTGCAACCTAAGAATAGTAATTTTCTCGTCATTTAAGGATGATTGACATTAAAATTGCTTGCCGAGATACAATTTTTCCATCCATATTTCAAACTTTACCAGGTTCGACGGTAAAGTTTTCATGGACACCGTTTCTTTAAGGATACCCATAAAGCTACTTGAACAGAGTAACTACTAAAAAGGTTTAGATGCATAGGTCCTTACCCAGCCTAGCTAACCATTTTTGTCTCCAACTTCTATGCTATTAGTGCTTGACCCAGCTTTTGGCAATTATGCAAATAAATAATTCATTTATAGCATTTCTTTATAATGCTATTTCCATGTTTGAAATACTGCTCTGGTTCATTTCCTCCCAAAAGAACCAAAACTGCATCTGTCATTTCCTGTTCATTTGTCAATAAAAATCTTGCTTCCATTTGGCTGACCTTTCCTGTGTGTTATTGAAAATTTTCAAAGAATAGAAAAAAACATAAGAAAACTGGCTGTAAAAATGGCTGAATGACAAGCCCTAAGTAAAAGCTGTGCAATGTAACGTTGTTCAGAGTTGACAACACTAACCCGGGCTCATGAACTCCCTCACGTCGTGAAAAGTTTGTTCAAATTCTAGTCCAAAAAACATGAATGTATTGTTACGTTACCTCCTTACAATGGATAAGTGGCCTCTTGCACCTCTCCTTAATATCCAACCAAAGAAACAGTTACCTCCGGGGACGGGATTATTTATAAGGATATAGTAACATGATTAACAAGGCAGCACTTTGCGTACGCGGCGAGATATTGTCACTGCACAACCAAAATGCTTGGGAGCTTCAACCGAACCACCTCACTCGTCGGACTAAATACTAAGAAACTTACGATTCCCCCATTTTTCTTCATTCTTTACTTTTTCTTGAATAGCAGTCTATTGTGAGGGCTAAGCAGGCATATTCAGTCATAGGTACAGTGTCCGTCAGAAAGAACGCATGTTTTTTAAATGAGTAGTGCAGTCAAAATAAGTATGGGAAAAATATTTTATTATATCAAAATACTCAGAAATATATGCCATTTTTTGAGTAAAATAAAATTTACGTTCTGTCAGCCATATGGCGCCTTTGAGCCGAATCAAGCAGGAATCAAGCTTCTCCCGAAATAAGCCCAATAATCATCGTTGGGCCTACTGCACACCAAACTATAAGTTTCGGGGTATGCAGTGGGGGCTCATGCAACTGTTGCGGGTTCACTGGAGACCAATATCGGCAATTTTGTTTATTGACGTATCCATGTAAATGAAAATGTGCTTAATCACTCATAAACAACGTCATGTCATTGTTATCCAACTGTTCAATCATAAGCTGTGCAAAATTAACACGTTGTACATAATCCACTGGCTACAGTTGTTGACAAACTTGGATTTTGTAAGGATGAAACACTAAACCCTTCTTCAAGATGCGACGTACAGAGGACGCGTGGATCCCTAGAGAACTGACACGCAAACGGACGGAACGATTCCGGCTTTGCAGCGTGTCAACTCTCACTCTGTCTACGTTTTCGGGGGCTCTAGTAGTACAGTTTCGCCCTGGCGGTTTTTTTTTCATCACATTACCTATTGTGTTGCTTCCACCCATCTCAAAATGGTAGTCTGGTACTGTCCCACGTTGCGTGCGAACGACACACTCGCCATTTTGAAAGTACCGACGTACAGTAAACACACGATGCTCAACGTTCCAAATCATCTTGTCAACTGCAACTGAAACGGCACTTCTACCACTATCCAACACGCCCTTCCCCACCGCCACGGGACCAGCCCACACGATGTAGTACCCGTTCGAAAAACATGCGTTCTTTCTGACGGACCTTGTACATCCGCATTCCTTGTTTTTTCAGTTTATATGAAATTATAAACACGACATAGGAAGTTTGTTAATGTATTTTAAATAACGAGAAGTTATAGGGGGTGTTAGGGAAATACCATTCATAACCTTAAGAAGTCCGAAAATCAACCGTTTCGGAGCAAAAAATGCTGATCTCATTTCTTTTTAGTCATGAAACAAATTAATTTTGCACCTTAATAATTTAAATTCTAACAAAATAATTTTCTTGCTTATTAAATACAATTTTCCGAAAAAAAAAACATACAAGCAAAATTCCTCACACAACTGGCAACGTCGTACTCCGCCTCCACTGCATGTATCATCGCGTGTTGTTGTGATTACTAATACATTTAACTGTAACTTTATGTGCTTTACGGATGTTGGTTTTTTCTTTTTTCATGCATCGCATCGTTTCGAATATGTATCAATACAGTATAGTACAATACTAGTTTTACCTAAAGAAAACGCTATTTGATGCTAAATTAAAGTTGAAGAAGAGTAATATCGTAACATTTTTTGCAGTGAACCTTTTTTAAGAACTATGCGCTATAATGCCTATCATGACCCATAAGAAAACCATACCTACTTCTCGTTACCTACCTTTGAACTTGTTCAACGTTATTGATCTAACTTATCAGGATGAAGCGCTATATATCTCCACTTTCGTTGGACATTCTTGCGAGCGTTGAACTCTGAGAAATGTTGAATTCTTAAGAAATCTAGGTATAAGTGCCATTTTGCATATGATTATCGCAGAAGAATGTAGTTATGTTCATTATACAGGTTATACAAAAAGTTTTCGACCTCTCTTTATCCCAGAGAACACTGCTCAAACTAAAAAATGTTCCAGGTAAAAGCTGTAGGGTTTTTAGTCAACATGAAAATTTCAAATGGAACAGTGTGTTTTTGACCTCACTGGTAATCATGAAATTTTACGTCCACAAATGACAATGGCCATCACGGTCAACTTGAAATTTTTTTAAGCAATCGTATGTTTGTGACTCCGCAGATGGAAAGAGTGGAAAACTATTCCCTTCAAAAACGTCTTAGCGACGACGAATCTGAAATTCTAAAAAGGAACCGCCTACTGGTGGAAAAGGCGAATAATTTTATATTTTGATGTAACCTTGACCTTTCTCGGCGTAATCGTTTTGCATTCTTTCCATTTGCGAAGCCAAAAATATACGATTCCTTTTTAAAAAAAATTCAGGTTGAGCTCTAGATGACCTTGAAGCTTACGCTCGCGATCATCGTCAAGGTCATCTCCGAACATAGCATTTTTCATTCTTCCCACTGGTAGCGTCAGAAAGATAATTCGATCACATTTAAAATTTTCAAGTTGACATCTAAATGGCCTTGAGGGTCGTAATCAAGGTCACTGTCAAGGTCACCATTAGACTTTTCTCTAAAAACTGTATTTTCTGAGATAGAAGGGGATAGAATACTTCCTGAACACCGTACGTGATACCTCTAATGACTTCGTGAATGGATAATCACCTTTGTGTGAACATCTTAAACATGACCATAGAATTAATTTGAATCCATTACTAGCTATCACATACGTTTTTTCTTTACATGCCAAGTCCTCATGGCGCAAGGGTCTCAGGCGTGGTAGAGGAGACACCTGGACGGCTTGAGTACGAAGTGGCTTTGTACAAAGAAGCACCCGCAACTCGCTTGGGCAATGCCACCACTGGAGAGTTACCTGTAGACCAGGCGGTACCAATCGGTACCAAGCTGCAACTGCGTGCTAGGATCAGCCCTGATTCGGCATGGAAGTATGTCAAGCTGATGGAAGTGACAGTTAGTCCAGACCCTGATGATCCGCATATGTCTGGAAGTGTCGCTTTAGTCAGAGATGGGTGAGTAACCAATAAACTGCACTGGCGATAAAAAAAATCTTTCTTGGTCAGAAGTGGTCAAATATACTAATTTTGGGTCAAAAAAACGAATTTGCTCATCTCATTTTTTGATACGCTCTTATTTTCAAGATACACTGCGTTTCACTGTATACTGGTTGAAGTTGCAAGTAGTTCTATATTAATACTGAAATGAATTCTGCAGATTATTCAGTATTTTTTGTAGCACGTTCTGCAGAGAAAAATAAAAGCTTGACATCAACACAGAACAATCTTTCTTTCTGGCCTTCTGATTTTCAATTACCTTCCGGCTGCTAACTGAAGATTTCTATTTTGCATGTTAACTAGTCAGTCAAGACTAACCCACCTCCTTTTGTACAAATTTTGAGGCAGTTTTCAGATAGAACTAAAAATGAGCAAAATGACCATGTGTCTAGTACCAAATAAAAAAGAACAGATCGGCTTGGTCAGCCCTTGGTGTTCAAAATAGGTCTATTGAAACAGTGTGAGCAGAAGCTACCTTACCCACGTAGGTCTTAAAGTTATTTATTAACGACTCTACCGCTGGGTCGTATACAGGGTGATTCATAAGTCGTGACCAAAAATGAAACATCATACACAGAACCGCATTTTAAGGGGGGTCTTCTATATAACAGTTTTTCCTCAATGGCTTCATTAAAAAGATACGGGGTGTTGAAGTTTGTTAGTGCCTTCAAAACCGTCAACTGGAATGAACGAAAGTTTGGTGCGTGGATATACTAGAACATTGTCCACATTCAAAGGTCTTTACTTAAAATTACCGTACACCAGTGGCGGATACACAGGGGATTGGTGGCATTATTTTTCCAAATATTAATAGTACGCCAGTTTTTTTTTTGAAACGCACGATTTTTCGAATTTTTATAATTACTCTTGTGTTTTTTCCCTAGAGTACATTGTTTTCGTAACAATAAAAAAATTAATTAGATAATCGAAGCTTTATTTCAATAAATGTTCAAAAGACCACCATTCTGATGGATACAAGTGCGGCATCTAGTTAATAAAGAAAAACGTATTTCCACAAAATTTTTTGTGACTTTTTGATGAAACGCAATATTTATTCTTTCTTGTAACTGATCAACAGTATTAATTTGTTCAGCATATACTAGCTGTTTGGAAGCGACCCACAGAAAGAAATCAAGGGGGTTCTAATCAGGAGACCTCGCAGGGCAATGTACGGGTTAGGTTCTGCCAATCCAACGTTGTCTAAAATTATTACTTAACCATGCGGTTATGTCTCGACGAACAATACACAGTTGGCCATTGAAAATGCCGCACCAGACATTTCTGGAAAATATTTGTTGAAACGAGTGGATTTATTTACAGAACGGGGATTTTCTAAGGACCAAATATGTTCATTATAAGAATTAAAGGTTCCACTCGTAAAAAGCGATTTATGTGACCAGAAAATCAAATCAATAAAATCTGCATTTTGATTATACATTTGCAGTAACCACTCACAAATATTTCGCTGTTGTACTTCGTCGCCGGGTTGCAGACATTGCACATTTTGCCGATTTAAAATTCTCCACGCGAGACTTTGGGAACCTGGTAACTAGGCCGCAATCTGCCTAGTACTTGAACTAGGATCATCCAGCGCCAAATTAATCACTTCCAGTTCCTCTTGAAGAGTATGCCGGGCACCGTGGCCTCTAACTCTGGGAAGTTTGTCAATTCCATATTTCCGAAGTCTTAGAAATGAACGCGTAAAAACCTTTGGTGTAGGTTGACGTGTACAAAAATAATAACGGCGTACTCATCATTGCTAAATTCCATTTCACAACACTCAAAAATGGAAAAAAGAATCTTTTGACTTGACTTTTACAAAAAAAATGGTAGTAGTAACGATAACAACCGTATAACACATAACTATGACAAATCATCTCCCAAGAAACGTCAAGTTGGTATTAAGGCCTCCCATTTTATTTTGAAACTAATTGTATCTCGGCTCTTTATGAATGATCAAATTTGTTTTATAAAACACAAGAGTAATTATTTGCAGCAAATTGAAGGTAAAATTGGAAAAATTGCGCGTTTCGGAAAAAACAAGACCAACTGCCTTGAGCTATTTAGACCCAGCAGTGAATCTGTTAGCTTTACAGTAAGACAAAAATAAATGCCTTGACGTGGGTTAAACTTGTTCATCGCTTCCACTATTGGTGCATTTCTCTTTCCAGGTTTGAGGAGTCACATTGATTGCCATTTTAGGATTGATCGCTCCTTGTATTTCAAACAAGCAAGAACGCGTAGTTGAGGAATGTTCAGGATACGATTTGACATTTGCATTTCTCAGCAGGCCTTAACAAAGTTGATCAGTAGGCTTGTCATCAAATGTCTTTAAGTTTTGTAAATTTTCAGAAATTCCAAAGTTTACATAATATTTAAATTTTCAAAACTTTCAGGACAAACATTTTCATAAAATCGTGAAGACCTCAAACTTTCAACATTTTGACAACTTAAAAAAATGTGATAGGGGAGAAGGGGGCCAGTTGTTACAAAATTAATATAGTTATTTATTTGGGCAAAAGTTGTTCTTTTATATGAAAACTAAAATTGGAGAAAGGTACCACATATATCTGTACATGTATTATCAATTTTATTTTATAATTTTTTTAATTTTTTGTACTTGGTAATTATAAGTTCAAGTAACCTTGTAAACTATAACAACTTGCCCCTCTGTAGGGCAAATTGTTACAGTCTAAGGGGTAAGATGATACAAGAAAGAAAACTCAAAAGCTTCAAAAAACAGTTTTGATAAATGGTCTTGGAAGGAACCTTTATTTAGCAATACAAAAAACATTCGGAACATTACATAAAGTAAAATAAAAAAAATTAAATGAAACTTTTGTAAAAACAAAAACCTAAAGTAACTTGTAAAGGAAAGTTAAACTAATCACTATCGGACAAGCAGTGAATACAAACATAAAAATCGATATCTTTGCCACAACCTACATGCGCCCACCCTTTACAGACAATGCACTGGATCCACTCTTCATTTCTAGAATGTGAAAATGGAGTTAAACATATCAGACATGCCGATTCTTCATCCTCTTCTGAACTTGTAGAATCTATTTCTTTAAGGGTCTTTTTAGCGCTCTGTTTCTTACATTTAGACTTTGCCCCACTTGTTAATTCACCCGATATGTTTCTTTTAGTTGCTCCCACATTTTTTTTCTTTGTCTTGTCCTTTCTTCCTCCTCTAAAGCAGATTTAATCGGAGTGTCTGTCAAAATTGCGGAAACTCTTTTCTTCCGACCTACTTTTGATTTTCTTGGCATGGCTTTTGGGTAAGGTTTTAATTCTCGGGGCGTTATATGAGTACCAGTAGATAGTAAATCAACAGATTTATCTAACGATAAGCTGCAAGCTGAACTCGTAGAAGGTTGTGGGGTTCTTTGGTTTTCCCTATTAAATTCTGGTTCAGGACTTATTTCCATTGATGTGTTAATATTTTCTGGCTTTGGCCTGTCTGTTACTTCTGAGGGTAAGAATTCATCATCTTGAAATATTTCTCTGTTGAAAGGCCAAATTCCAGTCACCTTAAATCCTTTTTGTATATTAAGAGGCGTAACAGCAAGGGAAAATGAATCTCTTAGAACGGTAGGTATATCATAGATGTTCATTACTTTACCTGGATTAGATCTTAACCATGCATCTGCAGCACTATTAAAATATCTTTTAAGTGGGCCAAACACAGTGCGATCAAGGGGCTGCAGCTTGTGATATGTGTGGGGCGGGAAACTTAAAAGAACAACTCCATTAACTTTGCAAAAGTTCAACACAGGGATAGATAAATGTGATTCATGATTATCTAAGACCATTAAAACTGGTTTCTCTTTGCTACAGCGGACAAATTGGACAAAATGTTTCATAAACAACAAAAAATTTTCACATGTCATCCACCCAGAGGAATGGGATGCACCGACACAACCAGGAGGCCCATTTGCTACCATAACATCCTTGAATTTTTTCCGTGGAAATATTATGAATGGAGGTACGAAATTGCCATTTGCGTTAACCGCTAATGCCAAGGTAACAAGTTGACCCCTTTCTCCAGAAGTGATAGCGCCTACCTGCTTAGTTCCCCTTTCTGCTATGATTTTTGTGGGCCTTTGGACCGTGGTAAGTCCAGTCTCGTCCATATTATAGACATCTTGAAGCTGGAATTTATATTTATCATAAACCTTGCCAAGATTATTGAAAAACTGCGACACATTATGGCGATTAAACGCAGTGGCTCTGCCCATACTAGTAGCTTCGGGTGTTCTGACAGATAAAGTTTGATGCCTCTTCAGAAATCCATATAACCAATCCTTGGAAGCTATTTCTTTCACCTTCCAATTTTCTGGAACAGATATGTTGTTTGCTATCGCAAAATGAAATGCAAGTTTGCGCAAATCAGAAGTTGTAAGACCGTAATAAATTTTAGCGGAATACTCTGTGTATTTCGCAAGTTCCTGTTCTTCGGCATCGTTAAATATTTTTCTGTGCGAAGCGTACCCAACTAAGCACTTGCTTCTGTTTTCAACGTTTAGGGCTAACTTTCTTTTCATATAGCGGTGTAACGTCATAAAATTAACCCCGTAGCGAGTAGCAGCATCTCTAATTGATAATTTTTCTTGTAATATGGCCTGCATGGCACTTTCGTATTGTTCAATTGGAATAATACCTCTTGCAGTTTTCTTCTTGTACGTTCGCACCATGTTCAAGAACCTGAAAACAACAAAAACAATTTTATTGTGTAAATTTTAGTGGAATGGAAAATTATAGTACTTGCATTAAAATATATGGGGCAAGTTGTTACAGTAACAACCTGCCCCCAAATTATTGTAACAACTTGACCCGCGTGCACAAATTGAGGTTAGGTCAATGTTTTTTGGTAAGTATTGTGAATCAGGTAAAGACAACTGCATGCAAATAAAGAGAAAAATATAGGCTCCAGAACGGTATAATATACATATTTATACTACTTACCAATTTTTCACAAACGGAAACAAAAGCGAACAGACAACGGTACAGTTTTATAACTGAAACAACATTATACACGAATACACCATGAAGGACGCTACACATGAGTATAACTGTTAGTGTACAGATGGCGGGTCAGCAGAGCCAATCTCTTGTACATTTTCAGGCAACCCGTCGTACTTGCTGCGCTTTAAAATAATTATGTAACAACTTGCCCTCGTAACAACTTGCCCCCTTCTCCCCTACTCCCGAAAACCTTGAAAATATTGACAATTATGAAATTTGGAAAATTATGAAATTATTGAAAATTTAGAATGTTTTGAAATTTTTAAATTTCTAGTAGTTATAAATTTCGAAAATTTTCATAATTAAAGAACTGTTACAGCCTACTGTGAAACTCAAATGATAAAACCTCATTTGAATATTCCGTAAGCAAGCATTATTTTTTGTTTCAAATCCAAAGAGAGATCATTCCCCAAACGACAACTCAATCCTCATGGAACGCCGTGCATATGCAATTCCAATGACTGGGTGTGGTCCCATACAAGGTATGAACTAGCCTTCTCCTTGCCAGAAGGGTGGCTATTTCACTACCCCTCTGCCTAGTATGTTCTGGTAGTCTCTATTAGATGAATTTTATACCGATCACCTATACTACCAAGGGCCGACCAGTTCAAAAAGGAAGTATTGAATAAGTTTTACTCTTTAAAAACGTGGAGGATGAGAAACAGAGAAGCTGCAAGTCTTTTAAAAAAGCGGAAGTTCCATTTCCCCTTCCATTTTTCTGTAACTGTGCTCATGAATACGTCACTGGAAGTACACAAAAAACTCTAACAAGATGATAATTGCTGTTTTATTTTTGGCATGAACTTGCTTTCACCTACTGCCCTAACGATTTCAAACGACTTTATTTGCAAGGAATGTGGACACAGTTACCTACAAACGAGTTAATGCGAAGATAATAACAAACGTCCTTAAAGACGAATGGTCGTAAAAACGTAATGCAAATCTTCCATGGACCGGAGACCGGAGATTGCGAATTACGTCATAACTCATAATGAATGGTCTCGGCAGACTGGTCTACCTCGACGATAGTCCAGTACTTATAGCTTCATAGGAGCGTTAAACTTATCCACAATATTTGGCACCGAGATCACCATCAACGCAGATTGGAGTCTTACTTCCTGGCACTGGCAAGGAAGTAATACAGGGTGGCCGATATGACCGACTGGTTTGTATCTTGGATATTTGTGAAATGAAATAAAATACGTCCATTTTTTCATCTTAATATTTTATTGAAACTTAGAAATTATGTATGAAAAACAATATCAGACAAATTAATGTCCGCTTCTAGAAGCCGCGCAAACCTGAGCCCTCTTGATTACATTTTTCATCACGTTCTGGTAGGTTTCGGGAGAAATATTTTCAATCGCTTCCGTAATATTGTTCTTCAGCTGCTCTACAGAATTTGGTTTGTTGGCATAAGCCCTATTTTTCAAAAATCTCCATAAAAAAGATAGGAGCCGTTGAGTCCGTAGACCTTGGTGGCCAGTTGACATCACCAAATCGAGAAATTAAACGTCCCGGAAATATTGTTCGCAAAAGATTCATTGTTTCCCTAGCTGTGTGACAAGTTGCTCCAACCTGCTGAAACCACATGTCTTGCAGGTTAAATTGTTGGATTTGAGGGGCCAGCAGGCTTTGCACCATATCACGGTAGCGCTCGCCAGTGACAGCAGCGTCTCCAAAGAAGCAATGTCCAATGACACCTCCATATTAAACACCGCACCAACCTGTGTCTCGACGAGGATGTAGTGGTCGTTGATGGATGACACGAGGGTTCTCTAATACCCAGATACGACAATTCTGCTTATTAACAATAACCTTCATGTCGAAGTGGGCTTCATCGCTCATTATCAGTTGTCGGTAAATATCGTTATTTTGGGTATTAAGCTGCAATATTGCATGACAGTATTGTCGGCGACTTTCATGCTGTAGTTCTTGGGTTAACTGAATTTTGTATGGTCGCAAATGCGTCTTTTTTTAAAATAGTGCATACCCAATTCTTGAGAACGATGTCTGGTAGGCGTCAAGAAGCGTTCCACTACAGTTTCACGAACTCTCTCGATATTTTCCGGAGTACGAACAGTTCAAACACGGCCCGACCTTGGCAAGTCTTTAACTTCACCTGTTTGTTCAAATTTCCGCACCAACTGACGAATGGTGTTGATACTGGGCGCATTATTTCGACCGAAATCTTGTCGTAGCTTCCAAATCGTTGCAAAAATCTTTATTTAAGTAAAACATTTTAACAATACGGACGCGTTATGGGATCATGTAACGCTCCATGATTAATTGGAGACATGTGCTTTAAGCAACTACTACGGTGCCATCTACCGAAGTGCGTGTATCAAAATAGCGCACAATTTAAATCAGTCAGCTATATGTATATTGGCCACCCTGTATAATCGTGAAAAATTCCGAAAGTGAGATATCTTGTTTAATTGTTATATGACATGAACGTCAAAAAAACCATGTTACCCATTTCCATCAATCTGTCTGTCGGTCTACCTGTCCGCTAATCCATGGTCAGTCTATAACTTGGAAAGTACAGCTCGGATTTTGATGAAATTTCTACACACAGTTACTGCTATGCTAAGGACGAAAAAGCTTATTTGAAAATCGGTTCATTAGCGGTGGAGCTGGGGGAAAAAATGAAAATCTCTCAAACCCCATTTTTTACGCTTCAGAGGCACCTGGTTATTTTCGGAAACAGTTTTATACAAGTTCAAAATTGGCCGTCGTGGGTCGTAGGGGGTGGGGGAGAGAATGTCGGAATTTTCTAGCGTTAGTATATTCACACGATTCCAACACCGGTAGTTCTGCGCACCTATTAGAAATATTTCACACATCGTAGATTTCCTCGTACATTTGACCTCAGAATAATGAGAGAAATACGCCTCTCTTGTCACTGGCTACCATTGCGCTGAGCTACAGTCTCTCCGATGAGTGTCACGTATCTGCCGGACTGCTGCTGCCACGACTGGCTGACTACTGTTAGCGGCAAGGTGAATCATAGCACCTTACCAGGTGGTCGGCTCACAGTCTGGTCTAAGGAGACGAGTCTAGTAGAGCGAGGATCTGCCTTAACCTACACGATACGACGGCCTTCCAGGTGGAAATGAGATGTATCCTATCGGCAGCATATCGAGTGGTACAACAAAGTCTTACAAAAGCTCGAATCAAGAAGTGCAGTAAAGAAGCTTCAGCTCTTGTGAAAGGTATGATTCTGCTGTGACTGCCTGGGCATTGGTAACGAGAAATCGGATCCTCTAGAAGACTAAGGGGCCAAGGACTATTGCATTGGCCCCAAACTGACATTGGTAGTATCATCAAAATCTAATTTTACTCTTAAGCATCCATCTCAAGCATTCTCAAGGATATTTTCGAATTTTGCACACTAAGCCAGATGCCGTCATCCTTCCTCTTGTACGTTTCATAGCCACTATTCAGTTTTCTCTACATACTGGACTAACAGCCGGTTGAAAACATTCAGGCTTGAGTAAATGAATGTCTGGTAATTGGCCTGGATAACGGCATACACGCGCAGTGCGAAGCATGACACACGACCAAAAGACGGCAAACGACAAACGGACTTCTTGGACTGTGAAATGACGTTATACGAGGCTGCATTCAACGTAAACCGCTGCTGGATTTTCGTATTATGTGTCCGGTCTGTTTCTGCCAAGGTTTTATCGACCAGCAAGAAGTAGTTACGGAGCGGAGGTGTGAATTACATAGCCTCTACAGTCAAAATGATATAGTGAAGAAGTCACGAGGAGATCTTTTCCTGAAAATGAGGGATTAGATCATGATTCGCCTCACTATTGGTTTAATTTGACCCATTTTCACTCGCCTACATGCTCGGCAAAGCTGTCAGCACTGAACCTCTCGCGGAGCGTCACTACCAGTTGTATCTGGTAGTCAAACTATCTAAAATCAGTTTCCTAGTCCATGCTCCATATCTCATCGTGTCCCATTTTCGCTGCCAGTCAATGTATAGCACCTCAGTTTCATCATTTTTAGCATCTGCAACCCTCTACTAGAGGCATCTTTCCTCAAATCAATTGGCCGGATTCCAGCCACCACCAGTAGCGACTCCGTCGATACCGAACTATATACAATGCCTTTTCATAGATTGGAGCAACATAGAACATGATCGAGTTTGACCAGAGACCGTTGTTTGTACTCAAGTCACCATCAGTTGTCATCAGCCGGATTAAAGAATCATAATATACTAAGTGACATATAAATCCGAACACCCAGTTTAGATGGTTTTATTTTAATAAAATTTTGTATAAGTACTTAATGAAGCATAATAAGTAAATGATAAAAATTTCAAAATGATTGCACTGCTTTAAAGCCCTTTGACCTTTAGTAATGTGTGAATGCACCCTGATGTGCTACGCATTCTCCAACGCGCCTAGGCATGCTTCTGATCAGGTGGTCAATGTCCTCCTGTGGTATCTCATTCCAGGCAACCACCAACTCCTCTCGAAGTGCTTCTAGAGTCTGAGAAGGACGTTGCAAATTGAGCAATCTCCTACCCATCATAACCCACACGTGCTCAATTGGTGATAAGTCGGGAGATCTTGGTGGCCATGGTAACAATGTGACATCATTATGTTGAAAGAAGTCTATTGTGACTCTTGCAACATGTGGTCGGGCATTATCTTGTTGGAAAGTTGGATCTGCCAGGGTGTCAAGATAGGGTAAAAGATGGGGTTCTAGAACTTCGTGGATATAACGCTGCGCGTTCATGTTACCTCTGATGAAGATTAAAGGTGACCTGGAACCATAAGCTATAGCACCCCAAACCATAACTCCAACAGTGTGATGAACATGTCTTTCAACAAAAAACTGTGGATTCCTCCTTTCACCACGTTGCCTTCTAACCCTGGTACGACCATCGTGCATGCCTAAACAAAATCGAGACTCGTCACTAAAGACAATACTGTTCCATTCCTGATCCCAGAGTGACCGTTGTCTGCACCACTCAAGGCGATTACGTCGGTGTACTCGAGTTAAAGGGAGGACCCAGTGTGGCCGGTATGAACACAAGCCAAAACTTCTCATTCGTCGCTAAACACTTCGCATGCCAATAGGTCTTCCGTGTTCGGCAAACCATTCATTTGCAATGGACCTGGTAGTGGAGGAACGGTCCCTTAAGGCCAATAATCTTAGGCGGCGATCTTCACGGTCTGTTGTTCTACGGCGGCGTCCAGTGCCCCTTGCTTTTTGCGTACGGCCTTCTCGAAGCCATGCCTGACAACACCTAACCACAGTGTCTACACTTCTTTGCACTCTAACTGCAATTGCCCGAAAAGAGAGTCCAGCTTCCCGAAGTCCCACTATACGGCCCCTATCAAACTCACTAAGTTGACGAAATCGTACAGGTCTCCGTACTCTAGGCATCGTAACAGATCGTAAAGGATGTCAAGAACCAAAATCCGCCAACGATGATTCTTTACTGCGGCTGAAATATTCATTTTTAGAGCGTTAGTGAATTAAAAAAAAGCAGTATAAAGACCGGAATGTCCAACTGATAAGGCTGAAAATTTTTTCACTTGTTATTTACAGTAGGATAAATACATTCACCAACTTTTATTAAAATAAAACCATTTAAACTGGGTGTTCGGATTTATATGTCACTTAGTATACCTATTGGCATTCTTTACGCTCACGTGATAGAGTGATCTAGCCATTTTGGTTTGGTTTATACTTCCATATTGTTTTAGTATCAACTCCCAGCTATTCAAGACTATAAATTGGTAGTGCGGTTATTACTGCAGTACCGATGTAGCAAATCTTTATGAGCGCTTTAGTTTTTCGGAAATCTATCAACAAATTCAAAATGTCGGAGAAAAAATTTTGACAGCTTGCCCGGATCATTGTGTCCATTGAAAACAATTCATTTAGATTGCCGGGGACAGACTACTACTAACGAAATATTGGTGATACGTGCCTCTAAAGTAATACTTCAAAATTATGTTTTTAGAGTCCAATCATTTTGCTAAAAAATTTATTCATATTTGATTTTGTCGAAATGAGCCTTTTTTGAGAAAAAGCTCGAATCTATTTACACGGCAGCCTTGTAAAGTTCAACAAAAGCCTGAAATAAATTGACTGAGTGATCTGAAAATGTATTTGTGTTTCTAATAATTTAGAACATTATCGTTTTTTATTTTAATACGTATTTATTTTTTGTGATTTGTGTTTGAAATAACTGTCTGCTCCTTTGTAAATCTATTCTACCTCTTTATTATTTAAAGCAATCTTGATCTCAAGAAAAAACTCTGACAGAACTTTATTTTTAACTTATCTGCCTTAAGATGCGCATCCAGTGAGAGGGATAGGAGCGGTTTGTGTCGCGCGAAAATGTCAATTAACAATACTTGACAATGAGGTCAGAAAAAGACTATGTCTTTTCTCTTCTCTACAATGCGCGTGCACCTTTAATCTTATTTTTCGGTAAATGATGTTAGTTATAAAGATTGTCTTATTATAAATCACTTTCTTCAATTAGGGTAACGCGGTAGACATTAACTAAATGTCATGTCCAATCAAATTATCAACTACTCGGAAACTATTTAAGTATCTCCATAAGCCTTTAATTAAAGGTGAGCTAACACCGCGATTTTCTGTCCAATTTTAATCAGGGCAACAGGTTCATTCAACATGAGTCTCTTTTGTGAAAAACGGACCAAGTCTCCAGAACTTCCGTATTACTGAACACTGAAAGAATAGTAGCCATTCTTGGGAGAAGAAGTGCAGTCTTATGTCTAAAGACGAACTTTACTGTGATGGAACGTTTAATGATACAAAGAAGAATTGACTTCTAAGAAAAGTACAAACACACACTGTGTGGCATAAGCTCGGTCACTATTGGTAAGGAAGTAATTTAATGGCAAAAATTTCATAATCGTGATGTTGCACGATACGTAACATCACAAAAAAAACGCGTCACTCATTTGGTTCGGTCTATCTATCTGTCGCCTGCCCAATGTAATCCTTGGGTTTCATAGGACCTCGATTAAATGTTGACTCATGTTACTACCACGAAAAGGATGAAAAAGGTTTGTAGGCTTTGAAGACCAGTCCAGTATAGGCGGAGTTATTAGCGAAAACGAAAAATCTACTTTACTCTATTTTTCTTTTTCTTTTTTAATGGCAGACGATTCAGCCAATGATAAGATACATAAAATATTTCTTTGAGTCTCTAAAACCACTACACAGAAGAGAACTACTAAAAGACAACAGAAACCTCACAAATATATATTTTGTAGATGTCGAAATCGGGACTTTGCCTCTATCATACCTCACCAACCAGCCAGATATCGCGAACGTCCAAACGAAGTCTTTCTGGACTTTGAAGCATTTTTACTGAGCAGCATGAAGGAAAGATCGACCCTTTGGATCCATTCGCAAATCAAAGCCTGCATGGAGGCCATAGACTGCCAGCCTGACTTCTGTTTGGACCTGTTCGAACCGTCGGGTCATGGCAGAAGGAGGAGACGTAATGCTGAGATTGTCGAGATAATGGAAACTCCAAATGCTAATGCTTTGAGGCATCATAACGCCAGTACACAGTATACGAAGATTTTAGGTGAGTATACAATGAGATTTTACCTAAATTCAATGTATTTAAAGTGGCTTCGATGCCCGAGAGAGACTGGTCTGCCTAGCTACTATTAATTTTCCTATACCTTGTTGCAAATTTATCTTCTCAATATTACTGCTTGTTGCACTTGTTCTCTTTTTTATGTGGTGTTTCCTCTTGTCTACTGTTCTGGTGTCAATAATCATTCGGCTCCATTTCAACATGAAGGAAAAAACAAAACCGTATTAGCACTTTCGCTCATTGGTAACAATATTATTTTCTACTCTCCGACGAAAGACCTGGTGACTTTTTTGACTTGGAATATTTTACACAGTCTAAAATTTCATATAACTCGGTACTGTTCCTGAGCTAATAAAAATCAATTTTCCTAAATTCGCGGTACATTTTATAACATTCTGAAAGGCATCTCTCATCATCATTATGAACTTAATTTTTCAATAAGAATCTAATTTATCAAAAAATTTCCACAGGTAACCTGGAGTACACCGTCCTCATGCCAGGCGAGTTCTACCACCGCACTGCAACCATGGAGAGCAGCTGCGGTACCTTCCTGGTGATCGCAGCCATCTTAGGGTGTCTTTTGTTTCTCTCTGCATTCATCATGTGTTGGCTCGCCTCCAAGTTACACTCAGTTCTCTTAGGAGCCGCGGTAGAAAGCAAGAATATGGACCAGTTCGTCAGAGACAGGAGGTACTCGGATTCCGGATGCGGATATACCGGAAGAGCAACCACCCAGTGACAAACAGCAACGAACGCCACTGGCGACGATAGAGCTGACGCCATTGGCGCCGAGGAAGCGATTATTTATTAGAGATAAACTGATCAACGGTGCCCTCATAGGGATTGCAATTTCGCAAAACGCGGGATCCCGGACCCCCAGAAAGCGGATACGCTAATTCCGCAAGATTAAAAATTGGCGCTAAATATTTTGCGAAAAGCGCACAAACGATATTCACAATTTTTGCTGTTATTCTTTATTTAGATATTATTTATACAGATTGTGTCAGCCAATTTTATGAAGTTTGCTTTGCTGCAGAATTTAATTACCTAGTTCGAAAGCACGTTATTTCTGAGTTGATATTTTTCACATTGTAGGAAGCATTCCCAAAACCTTAAGCTGGTTTATTATATCAGTTATGAGTAGGTGGATCTTTCGGAGTAGTACAATTAACAGGGTGCTTGTGATTTGGAATCGAATTTTGATATATCTCGATTCTTGCTTCTTGGTCAATAGAGAGGGAAGTTCTATAATCGCGAAAAACCTTGATATTGCCAACTGGTGAAGAATAATATCTCTTAAATTGTTAATATTTACTCTATTACACCAAAACCAAAAAATGAATACCATATTTTTCCCTCCTAAAGGACCGTAAAACCTTAATTCAAAGATATATTTTTCTTTGACAGGCGAAAACACTGTCCGCCATGGTTGGCCCATATATTAATTTGTTCTGACGTCATACCATTTGTAAACAACAGCTGACAACAGCATAACCTCTCATATACGCAACACTGTGTATTTCTTGAAGCATACCTTAATTTCCGGACATATTTTACGTTTTATTACACAGTTCGTATAGTCTCGTTTAAGTGGGATGTAACAGCATCATCAGCCTTGCAGATGTGTAAGAAGAAATACAATATTAGATAAAATTATTCCGAGATTATGACGCGTGAGCTAAGTTTTGAATGACTTCTGGAAAGGACTTACATACTTCTTCATTTTATATCTATCATTATATATATTAGGTGCACTGTACTTACGTAGAAGTCTTGATGTTTCTTAGCTCAGCGGAGCAGAAGTCCAACCATTAATGTGTCAATTTTCGGCAAATTTGTGCTTTCTGCGTTTACGAATCCAACGTCCATGGTTGGTTTTTCAATAAAATGAGAAAACGATAACTTTTTACGTTGAAGAAGAGTATTTTAGAAATAGTTAAAGAAGACGTTACTCTACGACTAACATACGGATGACGTTTCTTTGTTTACAATTTGTATGACGTCGCATCATGGTACCGATAGTGCTTTTACCGTTTTATGTTAAAATATTTTTTAAGTTGTTCTTTTAAAAATTGAAATTGATATATTATGTTATTTTAAGCCAAATGCTGTAAGACTAGATTAGATATGAATCAAGTAGTTATGTAATTTCCCGCGTAGCAGCCTAAAAGTCAATCATCTAGGGGACAACTTATACCTACAGGTTTTACGAATTTATATTTTATATATTTATAGCTTAAAAACAGAAGTTTTTCGTAAAACCTGCAAGCTGTCCTCCAGCTAATCAACTGATGTTCAAGCGCTACATAAGAGATTACAGGGTGTTAGTATAGTATCAAAAAAGAATTGCAGGTTGGAGTTCCATTTTTTAAGACCTCAAATACCCTACGAACCTCGTGTTAATAATCGGCTCCTCTATTATGGAAAGAATCACTTATTGAATTGTGGGCATATTTTGGTATGAAGCTACAAGCATGCCAAAAGTGAAGTTATGTATTATTTTTAGGGTGCGGGATCCCTCTGGAGCATGCGCACGATTAATTATTCCCGCCTATTAATCTGGTGGGATCTAATCCTTTTTTACGCAATATTCTGAATTTGTAAATTTGAGCCACCTGGGATGTTCCTTCCCTCGCTCTTTGAAAAAGTTTTGGAGTCATACTTTTACACAGTAAAACGAAAGGAGAAAATTTCGTATTATTGATGTTGGAACCCCTTTTTTCTTTTCAAGATGTTTCGGGGACCGATACCCACTTAGTCTAAATGCTAACGCCTCCCAAAAAAGCCTGTATGCCTTGAAGTGATTATTAAAAAATACATAAAACATAAACATTACTGTAGAGTACAAGCATATGTTCTGTAAGCCCTTCTACTGAAGAATGTCCTTGGATAACGGCAATGTTTACAGCTATTTCCTCTTAGATGATTCTTATTGATGGAAATATTCCTAATAAAGAGCGCATTCAGGAAGCTACTGCTGAAAACGTTAAGGTACGCGCCCATAGGTACTCGTTCGTTGTAAACGGATTGATCATGTTAGTACTACTTGCTCTTAACTTTCTTGTATGACTTTTTGTGAACAAAAGTTGTAGGATCTAAACTTTGTATGTAGCACAACGAAGATTGAAAGAAAGCAAATAATGTAATGTTTTCAGCTGCTCACTATTTGAAGCTAACATGCCATTATAATTTATTTCTATCTAGATGTAATATATTAAGTATAGTTCACAAATAAGAATCCTCATTTTTGAAATATACTAGTAAATCATAAGCGTTCTGTAGTTTCCTGGAAAGAGTATATCCTTCCAAATAGCTACTATACATTATACAGTATGTTACAATGAGTGTTACACAACTGGGTCATTACAGAAAGTGTAAATGGCAGAACAGTCTCGGTGTTATCTAGAGAGAATACGTTAATCAATGATGTTACCAATCCGAATAGTGATTGTGCGATTTGACAAATCGGGAGATATGGGGTTATAGTTACAGGTCGGATTCATCATTAGGTGGAATCATCAAGCTAGTGTCATCATTTATACTACGTTCGATGACCAGCATTTTCACAAACAGGTTGTGGAATATCATGGCAGCTTTCGATGAAGCGTTAACGAAGTTCATTCATAGAAAAAAGGTTAATGGGGTCAAAATGGAGATCTAGCAGGCCATTCTATAGGCCCCTCTTCGCCCTATCCATGTATCTGGAAACTCGTCGTCTAGCCATTGCAGAACGGAAATCGTGAGAAGCGCCGTCTCGCTGGAAATATATTTCAGCCTGATCAAGTATAGGGTTTCCATCCTCTTCGATTTGGTTTTCGATGGTTTCAGTGATAAGCGGATTGGTGGTATTTTCCAACATATCCAAATAAATGTCTCCATTCAAATTTCCATTACTAAGCAATGGCCCAAACACTTTGTTTCCTAAAATGCCTGCCCACACATTAATTATTTGGGGGTACTGGGTATGCCCTTCTACAAAAGCATGAGGATTTTCATTTCTCCAATACCTGCACTTATGCTTATGAACAAATCCATTTAGATAAGATGTGCATTCATCACTGAAGCAGATATTCTTGACATGAATGGTATTATCATTCATCACAAAACTCAACTCGCCTATCAAAATCATGTTCGGTATTTCTTGCATTTTGAATGGATGAAATTTATAGAGTTTAGGTACTGTGTGTACAGAGCCTAATGAAATACCCGTCGCAGCAATTTTGCGTAATGAAGTATTAGGGTTTATTCCAAAATGAACCAAAACTTCAACTTGAGCGGCTTCATCTAAAACTCTCCGATGATCACGTTCAGATCCAGTTTGAGTGAATTTAGTAACAAGGTCCAAAATATACCTTACATTAATCTTGGGCACCATAAATTAGAATCATCTCCACTGTTTCGGCTAGTGTGTAAACCATTTCGAAACTAAAATCTGAATCAATAAATTAATTTTCACTATCCTAAGATTATCACAAAGGTAACTGACAGCAAATTAAATTCTCTTTCTCTTAGCAACAAATAACTAAACAGGTATAACAATAAATACAGTTCGCCTAGGATATCTGTGTTGATTAAAAAAATCCGGAAAAAAAAGGCGGGTTGTTATTTGGTTGTAACCACGACTAATCTTCCGAATTGCTGTTTATGCTGGTAGTTTCCGTTTTAAACGATAAACGAATTGTAGATTTGGCAAACACTAACAGGCAACATTTTGAACACTTATTGAAATAAAAATTGATATATTCGTGTGTTTTTGTTTTCTACCTCATCAAATTAAGATAAATTAGATTAAGTTTTTCTAATTTTCTCGAAAACGAATCGACTGATTTTGAAAAATCAAACGTGAAAATAAAGGACCTTTCAAACAAGCTATTATTCGATACCCCCTGATCTGCAAGATCTCCTGGTTGGACGCCATTAGACTTTTTTCTATGGGATCATTTGAAATCTATTGTTTACTCCCCAACCTGAAAGTTTGGATGAGCTTCGTCAACGCATGATCGAAGGTTGCCAGGATATCCCACATGTTTGTGAAAATGTCAAAATAAAGGACTTCGAAAGAACAAACAAGCTGTTACTCGATACCCCTTGCATTTAAAATTTATAAGGGAATGCGCTGGGGGCCGAGAGTGAAGTAGTTTTTGGTTAAAAAGTTGTCCCTCGTGAAAATCTTTTGACGTGTCTCGGCGTTTTTTCTTTTAGTGATTTTCGATAAATCATAGTTTTCTTTGAACAGTTTTTGTTGAACAAGAATCTGTAATAGCTCGATTGGTACAATCTGTATAGAGGAATCATCAGCATGTTAATTCGTTGGTAAAGTCCTTTTACTGCCAGTTTTACTTTTTTATTTATTTAAACGTATTTTTATTTTTCACCTCTTAGCCAGTTAAGCTGTTCTGTGATTTTATGTTCCTTCCCAGTTTCCGTTTTTTATACAATTTATACCTATTTATTTTTCACTTACATGTACAAAACAATTATTATGTACATGATAGTTTTGTTAAAACTTAATTATAAAGAATGTACTGCAACCATTTTTTTACGTATTTGTATTTTCTACGTAATGTAGTAGTTATAAGGAATAGGTGCACTATTTATTTATTTATTTAAAGCTGTATGTATATATTTAATAAGTAATAAGGCAAAATTGGAAATAATTTTTATAAAGAAATTTCATAAGTGCCTTCTTTCAGCATTTATAAAATGTCTTGATCAATGAATTTATTTCCAATATCGGGTTGATGGGTATTTAGTTACGATCATGAATGGTTGTACCATAATTTATTTATCCATGTAATAAATATTTATTTTTCACAGGATATAGAAATGTAGTCTATTTATTTGTCTATATAATAAGATTACAGTGGAAATGTACAAAAATCGGTTTAATAAACAACATAAATACATCCTGGATTGTTCTTAAATAGCACAAGCAATAAATTATCACAGTTTTTATATAACAAAAAATTATAAACATAGAATTATTCAAAGATAACAAATATTATATATTACAGGAGTTTTTTGTATATAATAAAAAGCACTTAATATAACAACATATATAAAAGCTAAAAAGTGCACGAGAGTCCAAGATCATATCTTTTCAAAGAGGATTAAAACATTCAATAAATTAAAGGTATATTAAAACAAAGCCCTGAAAAAATATATTATTTAAAAATCAAGCTCTGAACTATACTACATGTAAACATCAAATATTCTTTTGTATTTGAAATTGCTTCAACGCGATGACTGCAAATTACTACATTGATTTTTCTTTTGATTCAAAATCATCATGCTATTGGCTAAAATTGTCTATAAATATTCCCAAAATATATAATGAAATACGAGGGCCACACTTTTGAGATACACGAAAACTAAAAACTATTTTTCGAAAACTAGTTTATTTATGTTTAAAGTATTCTCCTCCAGCATCAATGCACTTCTGTAACTTGACCTTCCACAAATGAAATGCTTCTAGCCAGTCAGTTTTTGGATTGCCTTCAACAAACTGATTAATGCTTGATCGATTTCCTCTTCGGACGATAACCTTCGACCAAGCAGATTTTTTTTAAAATTCTTGAAGAGCTAGAAGTCACACATTACCAAATCTGGCGAATAAGACGGATGTTCTAGCATTTTGATAAGGCGCTGGCGTAAAAAGTCTACAGTTAGTTGGGCAGTGTGGCTAGAGGCATTGTCGTGATGCAGAATTGTACCTCTGCAACAACTTTTTTTGAATGAAGATGACCCTGCAAAATTGTGTACACTGTTGCGGATTCTACCCCTATAGTCGCATATGTGCAGCGAGAATCTTCTTCAATTAGCCGCTGAACATTAGCAATGTTTCTGGAGTCACACTAGAACATGGCCTACCACTACGTTCTTCATCTGCCAAATGAAACACGCCCTCCTTTAAACTCGGCATATCAGCGAAACACATTTTTCCGGGACGGGGCTTCATCACCAAATGCCTGTTGTAACCGTTCGATTCATTGATGTTCAGTTAAACCGACTTTAAGCTCATGGTAAATCATAGCGCTATAGCTCTCTCGACATAACTGCATGTTTCCTCTTAAATTTGTTTACACCACGTGCACTGTAAGACGCTTGCAAATGAACTGAATGCAGCGGCTTACTAATAAAGGACTGCTCTTTCTAATAGTGCACTGTTACCGCTTTTAAATAGTATAGTTAATGCGCATCTCAAAATATTTAGCGTGACCCTCGTATTTCCTGTAGTGTAGTCTAGAGCCAAAATAATGCATTTCCACTTATACACGGTGTCCCGTTTTAACCTCTTAGTTTTTTAGAATGTGCAGTTTTCTAAATACATATTTAGATGGGGAGTCTAAAATGTGGCACCGTGTATAGACTATTGTACAAAAGTTTGAAGACCAGGATAGACGCTGAAAATAATGGCACATTCACGATTCAGTGATGTAGTTAAATTATAAAAGCAACAGTGCAATATAACTCTAAATTGATACCATAAGCTCTTTAGTTTGTCACTAAAATTTTCTACCAGATTAAATTTACTCAGTGATGACGACAACATTAAGCAAATTGGAATAACTGTACTCAAGACATCATAGTAATCGTGATATCAGCAAATAATGAACTCGCATTTAAAACATAGTGCAAAATGTTCTTTCAAGGTTACTCCATACAAACTATATTAACAAATATTGCCATAATCCCTGAGATATGTACATGAAACTCGTCATAAAAACGTGATTCGCTTCCTTTTCCATGTTGGAAGTTACCTAGTGACAGATATCAACGGCCTTCCCAGAAATATACTTGAGGATTTTTTCAATTCTAGTGTATCCAAACTTTTGCAGATAGTAAGCTAGAGATGTAGGTATGATCTACACCAATGAGAAAGTCAGACTAAAATGCATCACATCTTTAAAGTGAAAGAACTATATATAAAAAAATATATAGCGAATATATGAAATGTATAGTACTCGAATATACAAGGTTATACCGTTAGCCTACACCTTACACTTTTGCTTGTTCAAGTGATTTGATCAACTCGATTTCTTTTGCTTCCTTCCGTTTATTTCTGTTTATGAATTCTTTGTGGTTTTTGATGATCCTGTCTACGATCTTCTCTGTGGTCATGTCATTCCCTGGTAATAGAAAAATGTTTTTTCTTATCACAATAATTAACGCTAAACATACCATAACCGCATGTATCTTGAAAAGTGACATTATATCTATTTTTTTAACATATTGGTTTTTGTGACATTATGTAGGTTTTAAGATGTTCACTTAGCACTAGCTGATGGACACATTGTGAACTTTTTTGTAGTTGTACGTCATGAGGCTTCCGTTATCAATGTTTGGCTCTGATGTTATGTAAAATCTGCTACAGAGACGGCAATACTGGAGGTAGAAAAACCTACATAATGTCACAAAAAAAATCGACATAATCAAACTTTACAAGATTCGTAAGACCCGTGCCGGTCAAATGACTGATTATGTACTTTTGCATTGAAAATGAGCGTATCATCTTATTGCTTTTTCACATTTGACTTCAATGGTTTTTTATATTAGTTATATGCAGTTAATTATAACAGGGTTAATTTGTTTATTTCATTCCTAAAATTCAATCGGGGAACATAGAGCCCGGTTATTTGACTGGCTAGCTACAAATAGGTGTGTATGTTGGTAAGTTTAGTGTTAAGCATACATATCACGTTTCAAATTCGAATCTCGTCATGAGGATTTTGGAAACGGTAAGTAGAATGAAGTTAGTTAAAAGGGGGTAATATTGAGCTTTTAGATAGCTTTATAAATAGACCTTAAAAGGTTTCACGATTATTCCAAAACCGTTTATATTTTTTGCAGTGCATGGAAGCTAAATGTAACTGTGTCAAATACTGTAAAATCGCATGTGTTGACATTACGCGTCATAACTTCCACATTTTTTGTCCGATTCAGACAAGCTTGGGCTTGTTATGTAGGTGACAAAATTATCTTTAGGCTTACATACTGTAGTATATAAAAGTTGACTCAAAAAAGTCAATGAACCCTGCTGATTTTCAAAAAAGCTTCAAAAATGCCTTTTTTCAACCTCCAACTGGTATTTTGCGAACACTATGAATTTAATAGACACAAATCATATACTGCCGTGAAGGAAATACATACGCGTCGATTTTAAAACCAAAAAACGACCGTTCCCGAGATTTTAGATCTATCTCAAAATTCCCCATATCGACACAGGACACGTAATTCTGACGTATCCGTCAACGCCAGGTAGTCAGAGCCCTATTTTGTTTTGTTTTTTTGTACGCTACAGATTCATTTTGTACTTGCTAACACTTCCTTTATTTAGAAAAGTTGATTTTTATACAAAAAACAAAACGCCACACACAAGATTTACTAGATTTATACCTGATTCATTATTGTCAACGTTGCAGAGTAACACAAAAATATCACTTGCTGATCAGCTGTTCACCTCGGTAGACGTCAAAGCGTGATGAATACTCGTGAAATAGGGTATATTTCACAAAATAAAAGGTTATTCACAATGTTATTGCATTGCTTGTAGAGGCACTGACAGTTTACTTAACATCAAGTCAATTTTACGATTTCAATCGACATTCCGATGAAATTGTGCTATCGATTTACGGAAAATATAAATTCCATTGTAAACACTAAACACGATGACAACAGATCATGTTTATACGGATGATAAATATAACAACTAACCCTGATATTAAAGAAACGACTTTTATGTCAACTCCAGGAATCAGGTTTTCATATTTATCTTCCCCTGAATGCTATTCATTAATATTCTTCATCAATATTCCCTCCTTTACAACTAATTTAAAACTCTTTGCCCGGTTTTTATTCTCAAGATGCCTGCCCGCAATGTTCATTCACGTCAATGCTCGGACATAAATAAAAAGCAGACGGATTATTAAAATATAAGCTTTGTAGACAGCGCGATTGGGTACAATAAGCATGTACTTTAAAAAAGGATTATTTAGAAAATCAACAATTATTTTGTATTACCTGATGAGACAGTTTTAAATTTCCCAATCTTCTTCGGGTACTCGTAAGGGTCTGATCCATCGTCATCAGGCGCTGCTGGTGTCTCTCCGTGAATCACCAGCGCTACTTCAAAGTGGTCAACGAGATCCTTAGTGACTGAATAAGGGGCGCCGATCACCACTTCTGATACGTATTTGCAAGCCAATACGCTCAACACCCGTTCGTGGAGATTCATTATGGGGTAGTTGGAACCCTTATACCTGTTCACTACTGGATCAGTGTGGAGGCCGACGATTAGGTAGTCGCCCTAAAAATAAGGGTTACACTTGTGAAACGCTAGACTAGAATTAAGTGTAGTTCCGTAGGACGATTGTCATTCATTCCTCCTAACGACTTGTCCTTCTTGTAACTCCAAAATACGTCATTCTACAGAAGGGCTTTGTAATTTTTGTGTTGGATGGAACTATCCCGACCCTTCATAGTAACATAAATACACATTTCAACGGTGAAATATCCTAACATATCAACCATTGCCATCCACTTAAGTATACATGATGCTTCCGTCGTAGTGGCTATAGCAACATCTAACATGACGAAGCGGTTCTCGGATACATATCTCTCGTCTCAGAAGTCGACGTCAAGACGGAAACGGGGGATGGGCCAAGTCATAATGAGTATCAGAAAAATATAAAAAAAAATCTAAGTCGTGTACTCTTCAAATTATAGGCTTTAAAAAATCGGAAAAGTCGGAAAATCTACATCCCGTGATGATCTTTTAGTCCCCATTACTATAAATATCAATTTTTTTTTAGGCGGGGTGTCATTGTACGCCACTTTTATTAAATCATGATTGTGTAGTGCCACCATGTCTATGTACACCGTACAGGAATACGCCAACATGCACCTCATTTATGTGGAATCTAGATGCAATGCTAGTGCTGCAGCTAGGCTTTATCATGAGAGGTATCCAAATGCTGCTCGTGATCCCGATCACCGAGTTTTTGTGAACGTGCACCGTTTACTCTCAGAGGGACGATTCCCAAATCAAACGCAGGAAGTAGAATTTCCTTTACCTTACGAGGACGTCGTACTACAGGCAGTCGAAGAACACCCGAGTAATTCAGTAGTTCAAATAGGAGCAAGCTCGGGAGTGTCCAAAAGTACAGCTCACCGAATCTTGCGAAAGAACGAGCTCCACCTGTAGCACATACAGCGGGTACAATCTCTACAACCCCGGGATCATCTTCCAAGACGTGAGTTTTGTCAAACAATGTTACAGAGAAACCGGGAAGATTTGCGATTTTTAGATGAAATTTTATGACTGACTGGTGAGTCGACATTTAAAAAAGATGGTTACATGAATCTACACAACTTACACGAGTGGCATGTAGAAAATCCACATTTGATGATACAAGATAGATCACAGTATCGTTTTAAAGTGAACATGTGGACCGGGATTCTAAATAGGAGAATCATTGTACCCATTGAGCTGCCAGAGTTCTTGAATGGCGAAATTTATTTATAAAATCATTTACCAAATTTTTTAGAAGACATGCCACTAAGCATTTACAGAGACATTTGGTACCAGCAAGATGGCTGCACTATGCCTGTTCAGTTAGAGAAAATCTTGATGCGGAATACCTGACCAGATGGATAGGGCGGTCTGGTGCAATTTCGTGGTCAGCCCGTTCACCTGACTTAAATCCACTTGATTTTTTTTTACTGAGGATGCTAGCAAGGAACTAAAAGATCTTGACAGGATGTAGATTTTCCCGATTTTTTTAAAGCCTATAATTTGAAAAGTACACGATTAATTTTTTTACATTTTTCTGATAACTATTATGACTTGGCTTATCCCCGGTTTCGCCTTGACGTCGACTTCTGGAACATCGTGTAAAACACACAAAAAATTGACAAGTTCCTATAAAATAGATGATATAGGATTTTCACCGATACCAATAATTTTCCGATATATCGGCGTTAGTGGCATATCGACCATTTTAAGATTTTGATGAATGCAACTTTGGTTTTTACATTGATCAAAACGTTGAAGTATTGCATAAGCAGATTTTTTACAATTATTAACCCTCCATTCCACTTGTCAGCAAAAGCAAGCAAATTTCTTATCCCCTTTCCATGCTACGTAAACATTTTCGTACATTTTAAAATTCGAAGCAGTTATTGGCTTTTACGCACATGTCCTGAATACCATTTAATATCTGGAAAGTAGGAAGATCTGGCTCGCCTGACTCATCATACTCTGCAGTAACATGGTACCCATCAATTTTCATTAAACTTAATACCTCTGCTTATACATTTCTGGCAAACTCAAAATTGCATCTTTCTAGATGTTCATTAATTGTAACGCCTTACAGTATAGTTTTATCAATTTTGATACTAGATCTAATTTCGCCATTATTAGTAATTATTACACTAGTAACAAATATTAGTATTGCTATTGCTTACGCATCAATGGTGATCTAGACATCTAGATGTGGTCTCCATTGAGACCATGAATCTCTATCAGGGAGTACCATGCGCCACATTTTTTTTTACGAACTTAACACTTTATTTTGCGTCTGTCATATGCATCGCGAAGATTGGAAGCGACGTTTCCTCAGCTCAGCATGCTACTCACATGTTGCCTGGCCTTTTCCAGAAAATCCAAATGTCCCACGTGGAAGAGATCAAACGCCCCCGCGACATATATCACTCTATCGCCAGGTTCCGGCGGCTTTCCGTCTGAGAATTGCATGATCTTCTGCGTGGTGGGCAGGAACCGGGAGCAACCTGTGTACGGAGACCTGGCCGATGAGCACTGCCCCATCGTCGTGGAGTGCTCTCCGTCCACGTCGTACTCATACTGACCTTGACGGAAATGGTTGCGGGTTAGCAACAGCATCCTGCCTACCAGGTCCGTTGTTGATATGCCTGCCGTCCTCTGTACCTCTCTGCAAAACGATCGAAGGTGACATTAGAATAGCGAGTTTTTAGTGCAACAAAGATAACGGATCGTTAAGCTGTCCTTTGCGTTATTTTTGACCTTGGTAGCAAATAACGAAGGGCGGAAATAAATAGTTTTTATAGCTACTGAAGTGAAGCGTCTTAATTTAACAGTACCGACTACTGACAGTCATGACAGGTTACTTATTTTTTTATTTTAACGTGAAGCCTTATTCCAAAATTTCTAACCTAAATTTTCCATGAGAAAGTTTTGGTAATATTAGTGTTATCATTGTTTCAAACCGGTCAAGAAATGAATTGGTCCAGAGTCATAGAACTACAAATCGACCAGCGACCACAAAATCAACAGAACTCAAATAAAAAGCTACCTTTCCAAATTGCATATATGATAAAAATTTAGTTAATTTTTACATTTATTTTTATCTGTAACCTAAAATTGATACAAATCAACAGTAAACAGTGTTCTACCCAACAACGAAGACGTGTACTTGTAAAATTCCAAGCGAAAATAGACATACACCATGACCATGTTATAGAGATAAAAACATGTTTTCTTGTACTGAGTAACAACATGAAATTTATATTTCTATTATATTTTAACCGATATGTTTTGATAACATGAAATTATTTTAATTAAGCTTTCCCAGCTTTACGAATTCCGACAATAGCGCTGTATAAGGAAAAAATAGCCTTACGAAGCAAGCCCTCCCTTATTCTCCGTAACTAACAGACCTTCTTACTTAGATAACGGAGAATGAAGGATTTTTTATTTTTAACCTATTTCCAAAAACTTGAGTCTGAAAATGGTGGTTAAGTTTCATTTTTTATAGATACATGACAAAAAGATGTTAATAATACCCCATCTTTCTCTGGCCGAAAATAAAGATGTTACTTTACTCGTAATGCCATTAAAGAAAATAAATTTATTTTTAACATGTACTGCATTTTTTTATCCAATAATATGTAACGATATTTAACTTAATTTATACTGCTCGGTATTACATCGGCAGTTGAATATATAGGCAAAATAGGCCGGCATCGGCGATATGCCGATACATACACGGAAAACCAAATTTTTCTGACGGATTGAGTTCAATGTATACGAGAGAAGTGCGAGAAGTGTGTACCAACACATGTTAGACGCAGAAGGTCGTGCAATCTGCCGTGTCGCCAATATGTTCGCACATGCTTCTACAATAGGTTAGGTTACCTTCAAACCTAAGAGGGAGGTCTGTTCAAACGTCCAATTTCATATTTTGTTTTCATTTTGATTAGAATGATTTATTTCAATTTTGGTGCGACTTAGTGTTTTAATTTATTTTAGAATAACCAAAAACGACAGAATTCACACTTCAAAAATGTGTACGCTCAAAATAAAACCATTATTTTGGCGAAGAATAAACTGAAGCATATTTTTATCCTGCGTCTTAATTCAATGAATTAATTAGCAACGTGGCAGATTGCCGCGTTAACGTTGATAGGCAACGCGGTGATGAGCTTCGTTTCGCTATTGCAACCCGCATTTCTGTAGCATCACTTGTGAGTTCCAGGTTGTATGGAGTATACTTTTGGAACAAGACGTGACCGAGGAAATATGACAGAGTATAAAGATGACTTTTAGCTGATTGTCAAAGTGGCATAAGTCGGTAAATGCCCATTTGGAGTTATCACCACCAGAAATCTCTAAAAGTGGCGTATCGCTCCTCCTCATAGTTAACGTAATATGGCAAATCAGTATGTGGACAGATCTCCTGTTCTTACTAGTGCTTAAGGAAGAAACGGGCGTATATCGCTGTAAAATAGCTAAATTGGAGTTACGCCTCTTTGTCTTTCCAGCAACGATATATGCAGGCTTAACGCTACTTAATCATTGATTCCGATCTGCGAGAAATTTATGTTCTCTATGAGCCAGAAATAATTCGATATAAGCATAGCGAATGAAACTTTTCAGAGATCACAATCTGACATAAAAAATAGCAGTGTGTCATTAAATAAATGCAGCACGACAGGTGCAATTATTTAATAAGGGTACGAATATACCTATAGATAGATCAATCGTTACATCCAAAACAGAGTTTCTCAATAAATTACCGTTTCAATACGCAAATATACCTGTATCGTCCAGCTTCTTTGACTTCTTTGTAGGTATCTTGACCATCTGCCGTCATTGTGATGTCGTCACCATGCACACAAAAATCACAGCCGTATTTGTCGAGTGTGGCAAGAGATGTTACATAAGGTGCGCCTTCAACCACCTGTAAAAAAGAAGCATTTAAAAAATACGTAATAAAGTATGTTTTATCTATAATATCTAACACATCTGAACCTCAATATGACAAAATGAAAAAAAATTGATCCGCAAAAATATGTTCAAAGAGAAAAATGTAGAAGGAAGTTGTAAGATTTGAAAAGATTAATCCTGTAAGTAACCTTGACTTTGACCTACAAGGTCATTTGAAGTTCAAGTTTCTTTTTAAATGAAACTACTATGTTTGACACCGGCTGTGTAATAAGCGGGAAATTTTACATTCAAGTAAGTGTTTGCCCATGACCTAAACCATGAGCTTCATGGGTGTCTGCCGGTGTTCAGAAAGTGTGGAAAGCACAAAATATCACCAAAAATACATTTTATAAAGATATATTTAATCAACTTCAAATCGACTATACTACAACTATTTAAAACTGTGATGACTCTTACGCGGGATCAACACGTGATCAGAGCTCGATCCCGGCTTCCTTCCAGTACAGCCGTATAGCGTACGACATATATGTCGTTTCTGTGGCTTTGCGGTGGTCAACAGCACAGACAGAGATGGAAATAATGGCTGATTGTTCTCCGCCGGTAGAACCAATGAAATCAAAGACGCGCCTCGACCGGCAGACTCATAGGCGTCGGCAACGCATTGGAACGTGTTTCGTTGAGCGATCGCATATTGTGTGTTTTTATAAGAATTGTTGTGTGATTGTTATTGTTGTGGTTTCTGTGGTTACTGTTTTGGTTATACTTAACCATGGAGAGTACAAATGGCACGAGTGGAAGTACTGAAAGCCAGGGAACAAGTAGACGGCTTCGTGAAGCACTGAAGAGGGACGCGAAAGAAATCGTGCTCAACGTGTTCAATTATCTGAACAGAACTATGTCGTAGGGAGATGCACTCGCGCGTTGTGAAAGTATGACAGGCGTTCCAGAGTGGACCATTCGCAGGGTGGTGCATAAAAAGAAGAAAACTGGAGCTACTACTGATCCAAAGTTTAATTTGAAGGGATGAAAGACCGTTAAATTGGATGACGATAGCAAAATGGCGTTAAGGCGAGCCGTACATTCATTCTTCTTTAGGAATGAGATACCAACCCTCAAGGCTGTACATGCAGCGATCAAGGTAAATGAAATTATACCCCAAATGAGCGTCGAGGTAATGAGGAAATCCCTGCACGAAATTAATTTTCGTTACGAAACGCGCAATCGGAAGTCAGTATTGATAGAGAGACCTGAAATACTCGCCTGGCGTCGAAAATACCTACGCGAAATGATTGAATATTGGCGACAAAGCAGAAAAATCTATTATTTGGACGAGACATGGGTAAATGCAGGTCACACAGTTAAAAAAACCTGGATAGACAAAAACGTAGTGAGTAACCGACAAGCAAGCATTGAAGGTTTGTCAACAGGTCTTCGTGGACCGTCAGGGAAAGGTCAAAGATTGATCGTAACTCATATTGGTAGCGATAGTGGCTTTTTAGAAGAGTGTGACTTGATTTTCGTCTCTAAGAAAGGAGGTGATTACCATGACGAAATGAATGCCAGCTGCTTCGACAGCTGGTTTCAAGGGGTGCTTCAGCGAGTTGAGCCCAACTCTGTGATCGTCATGGATAATGCTTCCTACCATAGTCGTCGAGCCGAACGTGTACCGACTATGGGATCTCGAAAAAGTGACATGCAGCAATGGTTGCGCGAAAAAGGAATCCCGTTTGACGATTCGTGTGTGAAAGCGGAATTGTATGAAAAAATTAAACAGCACAAACCTGCGAACATTAGTTACGTGACTGATGAGATGGCCCGTCAATGTGGTGTCACTGTGCTGCGGTTACCGCCCTACTACTGTGAACTGTTATAGTCAATTTCAACGAGGAAAGCGATAGCGACAGTTTATTACTGTCAGATGTAAGTGGAAGCGACGATGAATAAAGGTAATTCCCAAATTTTTTACTTACAATATGTTTCAAACCACTCTTTATTAAGCATGTGACAAATCTAGTTCACCCATGTTAAACATTCATACCCCACCTATGAACAGCCGACTACTGGTAGTTAAGTGATGTTCACGTGAACATCGATGAGTCATTACAGTTTTAGATAGTTATATGTAGTATAGTGGCGACAGTGCCAGCAATTGGTCGCAGTTGCTTTCGGTCCCTACTAATTATTTGAGCTGCTAAATAGAGACAAAAATTCTGCTGTTGTCAAGAAAGTGCTTACCTCATCGACCCATTTTATGGCTCGTACCATTTTGTACCGCTCTTGTTCATTGAACACTGGTGGTCCTTTATGTTTTGTGATCTCTGCATCTGTGTGCACACCCACGATCAGGTAATCCCCTAGAGCTTTGGCCTGACGCAGAGAGTTGGCATGGCCAAAATGGACCATGTCATAACTGAAAGTCAGCAAGCTTTGTTTAGTTTTTGTCGAAACAGACCAGTCGAAATATTTCGTTTGTATCATTCATGACCTCATAAACAAAAGTTTATTTCAGTCAAACAATCTTACAAGAGCCACAGACTAGTTTTTACAATGATAATAGTGCAGTTCTACGTGCACCTCAGAAACGTCATAACACTGATATGTTTGGTCAGCCTGATATATAAGACCTTATTTCTTGTGTTAAGTTCAGCCAAATATTATCTTTTTAGTTTTGTCGACAGCTCAGTGGTTTCCATGGTTTTCCCTACTACTACTGCTACATATTGCTTATCCCAAATCCAAGCCAGCATCCTTATTATGTAACTGCATACTGATAGGGATAGCGATCAGATCGTCATAATTGTCAGTTTGGAACTAGTTTTCATTCAGTTCATGTTCTCTTGTAGCAGCTGTGTGAGTTTCCTAAACGTCAAGATACTTAATCCGTGTCCGAGTCCATTCATAGCTCTATGGCCTAAGCGGTAAGTTCTGTATTATATATAGCTCCACAGATTATGCTCTCAACGAGTACGCGTAGGCTAACGCATATCTAGTACATATGTAAGTGACAAGAATGACGATCAAATCGCTACACAATACAGCAGGGTTATTACTTAAAAAACCGATATAATGTCAAAAAACCGCCAACTTGTGCACTAGGTAGTCGCTAGTTTATTCCGCGCATACTGCAAGTGAGCATGAAGAAAATGTTAGCTAGTTCAAATGTGACAGTTTATAAGACAACCTACATGATATCAAAAAAATCAATCAATCAAAAATCAAATTCCATAAAAAATGGAGATAATGTCAACTTTTAAGTTACATAATACAGGTGCGGACGCCCGTTTTCAAATGATCTGTGTTTCTAGCGGCCACTGCACAGTCAAAATGTGCAGTATGCCTCTGCGTACTTTTAGAATCAAATCAAACAGGTTGCCAAAAATAGTTCACGCAATATTTTGTACTAAATGCTGTCCGACACTATCCTAGATTTTGTAAGAAATTTAGCGTACTAAAATCAGCACAAACTTTTTATGGTAACAGACGGCCTTTAGAGCAAAGCCTTGTCACGAAAAGCAAACTTGTTCAATGACTCGAGAAACCTATCTGTGGTTATACCGCTGTCCCTTCGCATTCTTGCTAACCAATAACCAAAGACGAAGACTAACAATGATGCTACTTTTTCTTCTTTCGGCTACTGTGACTTCAGTTGCTTGTTACTTCCGACCAGATCGTACGACTCATGTAAGCGGATTTTTTTATCAAAAGGGCTTACGCTATATACATGCACGCGATTTGCAATGTCGGCATAGGATCCACAAACGCAAAGTTTTTATATTTATATTATAAACAGTGACGACGACACCGGATTTTTTAAAGGTTCCGAGTGTAATCACCAATGTACATTAAACAGTAAAGAAACAGTCGTATTGGCACAGACTACATTGCAGCTTCAATTTGTTAATTTTCAAATATCTGCGTGCTATCGTTTAGTACTTAAAATAATCGCCGGCAGTCAGGTTTGACATATATTTGATGAGTGATTATACAACACCATGTTTATAATATATATATACATATATATAAATATATATATAGAGAGAGTATATATATGTATATGTATATATGTAAAACTAAAACTTCCGCCTTTTGTTGGGTACTTCGACAAAATTTAATCAAAGAGGACTCTTTATACTTTTTTAATTCTCTCTAGCTTTCAATGGACTTTGCCATCATCATCAGGAGCTGCAATTACAATGATAACAGTAGCAACAAAAGTGTAAAATGAATTTAAATTGAATCAACTTACAGTAGTATGTGAGGATGTTGCTAATTGTTGTTTTCGTATAGGATGAGGGAAAACTAAACTGCGAAAAATTAGAGAACTTACATATCTCCCCAAATTTCTGCTTTTCACAACCATAAATATAATCTGTGTTTTGGCTGATTCCACCAACAAATTTCATTCCACTCAAAATCTAATAATTCTCTTCTCACGATTTATTAATAATTGTTAATTTAAAATTCCCATGAATTAAAATATAGTTTATTCAACTGTCTCTGGTGGGTTTAACAATTTCTTACATAACATTCTGAAAATCACATCATCTGAAGTGATTTGGCAACGTTTTGGCACACGCCCACAATTCGTTCCATCTTTCAACACAGACATTGACAACCTTCGGCCTTCTGTCAAAGGTTCATCTCACTCATTATTCCATGACCACCATTTTGTGCAATCATCAAGTGGCTTCACGACGTAATGCTCTAATGTTTTCTAAATAATTTTTAATCTGTCTTTAACTTGTCTTGTCATATTTTATATCATTTTAACCATTGTACCATGTATCCAGCTCTCACCATGTTACTGGACGTTTCCCTCATCCTATACGAAAACAACAATTAGCAACATCCTCACATACTACTGTAAGTTGATTCAATTTAAATTCATTTTACACTTTTGTTGCTACTGTTATCGTTGTAATTGCAGCTCCTGATGATGATGGCAAAGTCCATTGAAAGCTAGAGAGAATTAAAAAAGTATAAAGAGTCCTCTTTGCTTAAATTTTGTCGAAGTACCCAACAAAAGGCGGAAGCTTTAATTTTTCACCTAACTGGTTTAGACGACAATGACCACGTTTCAAAAAAAAAAATGTATATATGTATATATCCAAATCGCTCATAACCGGCCACTGACAACTGTGGTACTAGTTGCCAAGATTTTCACGGGATTCCGGCGGCACAGAGGCATAATATTAATGACCAAGATGCTTATGTTTTTTAAATTCGCAGCATACAGAAAACTTTTAATATGAAATCATTTATTAAAATCGACTATCTGTCATGAGACTACCTGATCCTCAGACAGCATCTTTCTTATAGTTAGCGTATCTTGAATGCGCGATATGGGAACTTGAGGGGAATTACATTTTGTGCTGGAAAACTTTCAATTTATCATGTGACAGATTAGAAAAACGTACCAAACCGAAGTTTCCTTTTGCTGTCACAAAAAGTGTTTATTATAGGATTGAATAATAAAGGATAACGATAACGTAGTCAACTCCAGTGGCATAGAATTGTTATCAGGCATATTGAGTTTATCAGGAACTTGCATTAATTTGTTATCATGTAACAAGGATTTACAATTTATTGTCTAAACAAAATAGGATTTGCTATGGGACATAAAGCTAGAAAATGACTAGTATTTGAGAGAAATATAATTGGTAAGAACTGTGATGGAAGTGTATAAAACTTGTATTTTTCTTCAATATGAAATCTCAAGTCCATATCTCTGCCTTAACAAATCCCGTTTAGCCACCATAAAATGATCTCCACAGAGCATGGCTTAATTCACTACCCCAAACCTCGGACAAGTTTTTTTTTTAAATACGCAGTACTAAGTTTGCAGCAGCGGGTCTTACTTTTTATCTTATTATAAATACAAAAGCGCTAGATGAATCTTAATAAAATATGAGAGATGTCATCAGATTTATCTCAATTGTTTGATACTATCTATCAACAGTTCAACAACACTGGCGCGACTGACTGCAATTGTACCAAAGCTACTACTATTCGTCATCGTTCGTAAAAGCGGTCCTGCGGACTCTTTCTGTTAGTTAGAGTATAGACATCCAACAGTTATACGGCTCAGTATGTATGAGGCAACCGGCTATAAATCTTCGTTTCCTCAGGTTACATACGTATCCGGATGTATGGGCATGTGTATCTACTGTTGTGGTTGCATATGTGCACTGATTTCTGGCCTGATGTAGCCAGCAAGCAGAAGTACGTATCGCTCGGGTTACCTATCCTATTTTCTGCTCGAATTCACTTTCCTTCTTTTTGCAGAATTTGCCCTTCATTTTTCTATTTTTTATATACCTTTTTCTGCATTGAAAATTCAAGATCTTCTAGCCATTTTATACTACAATGTGTAGGTTGGCTCTTGTTGGGGACATCGTGTTTTACTTTTTTCCTCTCCATTTTAATTTCCTCAGGTTACACCCGTATCCAGATGTATGGGTATGTGTATCTATTTTTGTGGTTGCACATGTGCATTCATTTCGGGCCTGATGAAGCCAACAAGCATAAATACGTATTGCTTGGGTTACCTATCCTATTTTCTGTTCGAATTCACTTTCCTTCATTTTGAGAAATTTGCCCATTATTTTTCTATTTGTTATGCACCTTCTGCAGTATGACCCTTATATCTTTATATATTTATACATATACACATATAACTTTTTCTTCTAGGTCATATAAAAAAGTTAGAAAAGGGGTCAGTTGATAGTTGGACATCCATACATATAACTTGAGTTGCAAAATTCTTATACATGAAATAGTTTCATAAACAAGTTCCACTGTTCTGATAAAATATTTAATAAGTGACACTAGAATATACACATGCTGTGTAATGAGTATTCAATAACTTAATTCAATAATTAATGAAGATGAATACTTTCTTATTACTTCAATATTAAGTTCTTTATACATACCAATTTGTTTTTATTACTTTTATATGCTCTATTGTCCTGTTACTCTGCTTATATCTATTGCGATTATTTGAGGAGAATAGTTCAGTAAGAAGTATAATATTGTATTCAGCTGTGAACATTTTCAATACCACTGATTAAACAGGCATTTTAACTTGATTTAATTTGATAGGATAATTACAAAAACATTTACTATGAGCTTGAATATGTGACCTTACATTATTATTAAGAAATATTAACTACTACTATCTGACATAATATGAATATACCATTCCAAAATACCCCACAAACACATGAAAATAGAGGAATAAACTAGTTTTGTAATACATTATATGAACTTGTTATTATGATGCCTTATAAGAAAGCCCACACTGATGAAATTTTTTAGTTTGGTGAATAAATGCTTGTCAGTGATTATTAAACGCTATAAATTGATAGTCATGATACAATGCACTGAGAAAATAATAAATTAGATCATTTATTACTATGATGTGAGTGAAATTTTTGTCAAATTATATACAGAAGTTAAAAAATTGTGTGATAGTGAAACTATTCCTCATATTCCAAATATCCAGTATTAATAAGCTATACAGAGTGATTCAGACAACTGTAACAATATGACATAAAGTAGATCTAAAATAATATGAAAAGTCGAAGATGTTGAAGTTAGAATTTTAAAATTGAAAAAGAATTATATCTTCAGACTGAACTAAGATATCAAATAAAATTTTGTACATGTGTTACTCAAAGCATAAATAATAACTATAAAAAATATTCGTGCCAGAAACCACACCAGGGGTATATAAATTGGGATATTTTCACTCCCGAATCAGGAATAAGAAAATTACTTTCTAGTCCACTGACTTTTTTTAATCATTTAATTTTCAACTTGTGATTTGGAAATATCCTGAAGTTAGTGATGATTGAACACTGTATTTATGCTATGTCCATATTATGCCTCATCAATGGCATAAAAATATACTACGCCCTATATCTTAGTAACGAGACTAATTTATACTCTAGAAATATTAAGTACCATTGTTTTTCATGATCCTTAAAGGAAAAAACTAAATGACCTTTGGGTTATTTCTACTACTCCATTGTGAACTGTAAATTAATATTTACATTAATTATATGCAATAATGGATGTGGCAGTCTCGAGTATCATTCAAAACAATTTGGAAATATTTTTTTCTATTAATAAATACAAAAAGAATCACTGGATAGCTCTCATAAGAGGAATATTTTTTCAATGAAAATCCATTCATAACAAATTACATATATACAGATTAAGATATAATACTGATTCCCACAACATAATATTAGGCACAATTTATTTTAATAAGGAAACATGATAAAACGCGATAAGTAACTGAGGAAACATCAGTCTACTATATCCCACTACATATTACAAAGAGATTATTGATAATACTTGTTTGAAGTGCTCAGAAACCAGTATTCAAAAATTTCCTAAATCATCCTCAATGAAAGATCGCACCTAAATGATCAAGCAAGTAAATTCAATAATGAGTAATAATGCAGTAAAGGGAACTAGCAATTACCACGTCAAACAATTATTATACTGAGCAAATAAATACGGTTTCTAATTATAGAAGTTAAGGTTATGTGTTGTGCGGAAATGAATGGTTTCTCATCGAATACTAGGTAATTGAATTATCCAGTTAATAAAAGAAACTACGTATTTTATTGCAAAATGAACTTTTCTCAGTGGTCCATTCACTTACGTCGTCAAAAATAGAGGAAAACTGAAGGGGTTGTTATCGATTTTCCAAGACACTCCTAATAGAAAGTTGGACTTACCAACCATCACACCACACTTTCACGAAGTCCTTGTGACCGTTTGGAAGCTTGTTCTCAGGCATTTTAGTATTTCTTGTCAAATAAAATTCTAAAAAGTGAAGTTTTTCAAAAATCCCTTCACAACACACTTCGCGCAAATAAGTGACAGTTCAACAAACGACACCTTTAAAAAGCTGAACTAGGCTCTGTTGCCGCAT